CCTTATGGCATGTCGCTAAGTGTCATGAAAGAGGACGTGTTAAAATTAGCGGGTCCGCAGTTTATACACGGGCATTGGTTTGGCGGTGATGCAAGGTGTGTGGTGGAAAAAGCGTGTCGAGGGCTGATGAACATCCAGGAAAGCCAAACGTGGAAGTTGCACTATAGATTTCAGCAAGGTTATTTCGACATGGGCCGAAGAAATGCTTGGATGCGAGTCCGAGTGGATATGCTTTTATGGTGGAGCATGATGGCGAAAGCTATGAAAAATTTTATCAAAGTGAATAGTGGCTGTCAGATGGGCCAAAATCGCAAGGTGGAGTTTGTTGGGTTTTGCTCTTTGTCCCACATCGATTGTGGAATGAAAGAGAGGGAGATTTTTCTCCTATATAAGAAAGTGCTACTTCTTATGTAAAATCATCCCACAGAGTTATTGTGTTAACAATTAATCTCTGGTAAAAAATTCTTTAGGGTAAAAATTCCTTAGGGTAAGAGTTAGGGTTAACGAGTAGAAAATTCTGTGGGGTAATTTTGGGCAAGTGAGTGGTAGAAAAATTGTGTAATTTTTTTTTACATAGTGGATTTTCTACGGCCTTGTTGCCTTGGTGGTTTTTCCCTCTTTGTTAACAGAGGGTTTTCCACCTTAAATTTTGTGTTCTCCAGTTTTTTATTTTCAGAGGATCTTGGGCGGAGTTTCGGTGTGGATGGAATTCCCAACAAATTGTTGAATCGGATAATTAATTTTAAAATTTTTAAAATCATATATAGAGTATTTTTGTACATAGATATATATAAAAGTAACAAAATGAAATGTTTTTTGTATAAAATTTGTACATTAAAGTATTAATAATATGTATCTCAATTCTCATGATAGATATTTAACATATAAACATATATACATAGTTTTATTTTTAAAAACAAAAAAAAAAAGTATATGGCTGGGTCAACCCGCGGCGGGACAATGCCCCGGGTCGGCCGGGTCGACCGGGTTTTGACTGGGTTTGGCCGAGTCATTTGTTGTTCGGTCCAAATAGTCCACCCAAACCGGTTCTGACTAGGGATCGACCGGGTCTCGAGTCTACCCGCCGGTCCAATCCGGGTAAAAAAACTATGCTCAGAAGTCATATCGATATCAAAGACTTGAATTTTTTATTTTCGATAGTAGGCTTAATTAAAGAAAAACTCTCGAATATTATTATTATTATTATTATTTTCTTGCATATATTCTTGTTATTATTTTTTTTTTTCTTGCAACTTTGCTTTGAAAATGCAATGCATCAACTAATTTTTGTTAATCTATTGATCAGATTATATGATGAAAAACTATTTTTATAATATATGGGAATGGATGTGACAGTCTAACTTATTTTTTCCTACATATTGTAAGATATATATATTAAATAATAGTTTATTAAATATTCATGTCAAACATTAAGAGGAGGGGTGGGTTATTTTTTTAAAATAAACAAA